GCTGAGGGGGCGGGAGCGCGAGGAGCTGGGTCCCTCCGAGGTGCTGCTGCAGCCCGGGCGCCTAGAGCTGGGCGACGTGGAGGAGGACCAAGTGGTGGCCGTGTTCGTGGTCACCTTCGATCCCCGCTCGGGTGAGAGCCGCTCGGGGACCCGGGGCGGGGAGAGGGTCGCCCTACTGGGCTTTGGGGGTGGCGGGGGAGGGGCTCGCTGCGCGCGCACCCGCACCCACACACCTGCACCCCGCCCCGCCGGCCGCCTCCCTGGGAGACGGCAGAGTGCGCCCGCCAGGTCTGGGCGCGGGACCCGCGGCTTTGTTCCCTGCGCCCTGCGACCCCCCTCTCCTTTCCGTCCCGCTGCTTCTCAGCAGATCCGCGTTCCGCGCCCGCATCCCCACAGTCGTGTTTGCGCTTCTCCAGCGATGGAGGATCCTGTGTGTAGCCACAGGCACGCCGGCTTTTGTTTTGTTTTCCTGCTTGGCTAAAAGGTTTTTTCCCTTAAGAGGAGGAACGCCCCCCAAGTGAACTCCTTCTGAAACAGACTGTCCTAGGCTTCTAGGTTCTCTGCTCCCCCGCCCTCGCTCCCCATCTCTCCCTGCACCGTAAACTTTCCAAGCGGCCAAGTTCACTTTCTCTGACAGCATTATTTTGAGGAATTAATGCGGGGAGCATTAAGGGATGAGACTGAGGGATTAAGCTGGAGACGGATTAAAGGAGAAGGCTTCTCAGGTAGGCTCTGTCTGGTATGTGTGGAGAATTAAAGGTTATCTCATCTGTACCTAACCACTCAGTAAGGAAGTGTGCGTTTTAGTGGTGAGAGACTTCATGGGGGGTTCAAAAGCCAAGGGATAAATACCCGCGCTCAGAAGGCCTCAGGTGGTCTGGGAGGGCGTGGAGAGCTGCTCTGCTCTCAGTATTGGAGGAGGGAGAGCTATAGTCATGGTTCTGGGGCTTAAGAAAACCCAGGTGTGTCTTTCTGTCCGTAACTCCAGTGGGGTTGCTGGAATGTGGAGTGCCTATTAGTGAAGGAGAATATTCTGCTGCTTTCTGGAGGCCCCTTCCTGGCCTTCCAAGGATGACGGTAGAACCCATTCGGAAGAACTTGATGGCGTGGGAGGAAGAAGGGTTAGGATCCTGAGGTGGGGATTCATCTGTGGCAGAAGATGCAGTCCCAGGCAGGGTAACTTAATTTCAGTCAGGGATTATAAACCAGCAAGGCTCAGGAAGAAAAATCCACCGTTTGTGGGGAGGACACTAGGCCCCTCTGACTCTTGTCTATTCCTTGGCCCCATCCCAATGGCTTTCAGACTTTTTTGACTGATTCACCATATGAAATTAATTTTACATCCCAACCAATATACTCACATACATACATATGTAACTGAAACAGAAGTTTCATGAAGTAGGACTAACTCCTTCTACTTATAATGCATACTGGTATTTTCTATTCTATTTTTAAAGAAATTTTAGGCTCATCACACATTTTGGTTGACTCACCTATGGTTGGGACTCCCACATACCAGTGGTTTGAAAAACTATTCTTTTTTGACCAAAGTAACCCTTATTGCTAGGAAAAAACAGATACTTTGTAACTAATAATATTCCTTAATGCCCTAGCCCTTCACCTACAAGTAAATAGATAAGATTGATTCTAGGAAGTGTTGAACAGTAACTAGAAGAAATGGAACATTAACAGGGTCTGATTTAGCAGTCGAGTCTAGGGAAGGGAAGGAGAAAAGAGAATCTTACACTAACCACAGATGGAATTGATAAAATTGCAGGCTCCACAGAGATGGGACCCTCGCCGTGTCTTGTCCGTCACAGCTGGTGAGCAGGGTTTTGTGGGTTTGTGTATATGGAGTGGGTGTGTGTGTAATGGTTTTAAGATTAAGGTGAATGTGGAAAGAAGGAATTGTAACTGATACTTGGACACTTACTGTGTGCAGGTATTTTACTAACATGGTGTTTCATTTAATTCTAATCACTACTCTATAATTTGTTGATTGTTTATACCCAGTTTATACAACAGCAGACAGACCAGGGATGACTGAGTAATTTGGAAATATTAACCCGCTGATAATTACTTGACTCTGAGTCTTTCTAGCATACTACACTGCCTGAACCTCTGCCCCCTAACTTTTCATCATTACTGTCTCCAGGGCGTGGAGGGGAAGGAAAGGAGAGGGAGAGAGAGAGAATGTGTTTTTAACTTTGGTTGATGGTTTTGTTTTTGTTTGTGTTTTTTGGAAAGCTGTTGTTTCCTGCCTCTAAACTTGTTTGTTTCTCTTTTGTCATCTATCCCAGTCCAAAATGGCACTTTGGATCCTGTAAAAATATTCTAATAGTACCTATATAAGGTAAAAATTATATGGCACATCTCCTAAAAGTAGAAGATGCATGGATGAATGAATGCTACGGAGGTTCCCAGGGCCTCAAAAGTTAGCACTAGGCCAAGGGCTTCAGAGAGCTCCTGGTGTGTCCCTTGTGTGAGACTGAGGAAATCATGGTCTGGAGAGGTGAGATGCGGGCCCTTGGTTGCCGGGTGGGCTGGAGACATCACTGGCCAGACTAATGTCTCCTGGTTTTAGTTCAGTATCTTCCTCACTCTACCAGTGAGGCAGATCTGCTCTATGTTACTGTTTAACCTTGGTCCACCAAGACTTTTGCCCTTCCTTAGCTTATGTTTCCAAAAGTACTAAAAGGAAAACTGTCTTTTTTATCAAAATCAGAGCATATCACAGAAGTTTATTAGTATGTGGGAGAAACTGTCTAGACTTTCTCTTTCTTGCTTGCCTGCCTATCCAGTCCCCCGTGTCTCTCCCGTCTCTGTCCTCCATTTTCTTCCCTAGGAGCTCCTTCTCCCCAAACCTCCCCAGTCATTAACTGCCCAGGCCACGGATATGTCATTCATTTTCCCACCTAGAGTAGATAACTGTTGGCATGTATCCAAATCAGAGTGTGCGTGCATGTGTGCAATGGAGAGGATGGAGGAGGAGAGAAACCACAGCTCTGGTCCACCTATAGGGTATGAATGGTCTCTGTGGTGAAAGTGGATGTGAGAGGGAATATGGGGAGGAGTGGATCCTAGTTAGAGAGTGTCTGTGTGGGTCGTGTATGTGCACATTTAGGAGGAATGTGCTCAGTGATTCTCAGACTGGTGTATGGGAATAAGAGAGTAATTCTTCTTGTATACCTTTGGATACAAGTTGTGGGTTGGGTATCTGTAGAAAGAATCAGAAAAGGATAGAGGCATAAAGAATGTTATTTTCATTGGACTCATGGTTTGAAAATTATGGTTATTGGATCTACAAATGACATGAGGACCAAGGGCTTCAGGTTCAAGTGAGGTAGAGACTTACACACACACTCACACACTCTCTTGCTCACACACTCAGTCTTTATCTGGAGCAGGGAGTCCTTGGGATGGTGGTGCTGGCCATCTGGGCTACAAAGCTGCTATTGAAACCAGGCCCAGATGCTGACTACGCGAGCCGGGTGAGAGAGGTTGGCAGCCAGAATATTGCTTTTTCATTGTGTTCAACCCGTTATTTAGACTCTTTGTTTTTAATTTTTATTTTGTTCTGTGGGTTTTAGTAGAATTTCTTTACTTTTCTCTGCTTAATTAAGGGAAAAGGTATTGTCACACTTGGAAATCAGCCTGCTCATCCCTCCCCTGTCTATGAAGGTGACACATCGGTCTCACCACGTGACTGAGGACTTGGCGTGTGGGCCTGAGGCACATAAAACTTTGGACCTACAATAAATGACGCCTGGGAATCTGCCTCATTGGACTGTTTCTTTATAGGAGATTCACTTTAAACTGCTACATTTTCCTCAGTTATTTTGTGGGTGTCTGGGGGAAATTCCTATGCTGTGTGTATCTGTATTAGGCTGGCTTAAAAGAGGAAGGAGATGGTTGAGGGGAGGAGAACCTGCTGAGGTTTTTAAGATGTCTCTCCTTTTGTTCTTCCTGATTAGGGATGAATTACTACCTGTTCTCCTTCGACCTCTTGCCAGGGCCCAAATTACATCTAAAAACCTATTTAGTGCATCTAAATGCGCCTATGTTTATGTCGAATGAGTGTATTTAAAATCACTAACACACGCTAATTTTGATCTCCATACACTCTCCATATAGTCAAGGAACTACAAGCATTTTCTTTTAAACAATGGAGATGATGGCGGCACAGTGAGATTAGGGCTAGGTGTGGTGTCTGAGGCATAACTTGGAGTGCTGCCCTGGTCATCTGACTCGTGCAAATAATAAATGGCTCCAGCCGTGAGTGGCAAAGTGACAACGTAGAATGAGAATGGAAAATTTGGAGCTTAATTTTGAGATGCAAAGAGCAGTCCTAAAAATGGCCAGCTTAAAGAGAGGCAAAGAGAAGGCCCGTTCTGCTAGCCGACGCAAGAAAGTCTCTTAGGATGATTAACTACCATGTCCTTTCTCTGTAGTTTCCATCAGAGGTCAGTGGATGACAGTTGTGGTTAATTTCATTAAACCCACATTGGCAAAATCTTTCCCAGGCTGTTTGGTGATTCACCTGCTTGCAGTTTTCAGGGAGAAGTCAGTTTGTGGCCATCTGCCGTGGATTCTGTTTCTTCTCTTGAAAGTCTATGGGGAGTGAAGTAGGAGTGGAAATCCTAACCACCACCAGTTACTGAGTGCCCACTCTGTGCCAGGAACTATGTTTGGGGTTCAAGGACTTTGCCTGTGGTCCTTTCCCCAGTCTTGGCTGTAATGATGAGAAAAACATACACACACAGCCCTTAAGTCGTCCTAAGTCACAGAGCAGGGAGGTGCAGAGCCCAGAGGCGAGACTGGGGCTGCCTGCCTCCTGTGCCTGCACTCCCTCCCCACCCCACCGCCCAGGGTAAAACGATATGGGGCCTGAGAAATGGAAGTTTTTTCCCATGTAAAATTAATGCGTTGGAATTCAGCCATGGTTCGGCATATGGCTGACTTGAAATCACCAGGATTAATTTCTTCCTGCCTCAGGTTTCTTTATACTGACTCTTTCTTCCTTTCCTTTGGATATACTCTCATCCTAGGTGGTTTTAAGACTATTTAAAACTACTTAAGACCAAAAGTGAAGTGATATGGGCTGTTTACTTTTCTGGTGTTGGAGTCTGAA